CACGGCGCGGAGCAGGCCGAGGCGGAGGCGCTTCGCTCTCGCGCCGCCACGCTGGTGGAGGAGGCGAGTTGAGGACGAGAGTCGTGTCCCACGGCCGGGGAGGGAAGGAGGGGGTTCACTGGCTGACTGACCTCTCCCCCCCCCCCTCCTCCCCCCCTCTCTTGCTTCCCTCTCTCCCTCTCCGTGGACCAGGCCGCACGTCTCGAGGCGCTGGTGACTTCCCGCTGCCAGCAGCAGCCCGCCCAACCCAACCCAGCCCCTCCGCCCAAGGGAAGGAGGGGTCGCTGCGTAGGTGCCGCAGCTGCGGCAGGAGGTGGCGGACGCGCGGGCGGCCGCCGACGGCAACGCGGCGGCGGCGGCGCGGGCTGCTCAGCCCCTCGCCTTCGAGCTGGCATTGATTCCACGATGAGGCGTGGTGACTCCACGGGCTAGGCGCGGGCTGCTCAGCTCACATCCGAGCTCGAAGGCGCGAGGCGCGAGGCGGCCGAGGCGGCGGCGGCGGCAACCACCGCCCAGGCGACGGCGGCGGCGGCGGAGGCGGCCGCGTCCGCCGCCACCGTCGCGGCGGCGGAGTTCGAGGCCCGGCTCGAGGCGAGTCAGCTGCGGGCGGCGCAGGCGGAGGAGGCGCTGGACGCGCGCACGTCGCAGCTCGCCGCCGCCGCCCTCGGCATCGCACCCGCGCCTCCTCCTCCCCCCGCCGCTGCCGGAGGAGGAGGAGGCGGAGGCGGGGACGACGAATCCCTGCCCTCTCCGCCGTCGCTGCCCGTGTCTGTGCCCGTCTCGCCGTCTCTCTACGGCGCGAGGTCCGCCGGATCGGCCTTTGGCCTCCGCGGCGGCGGCGGCGGCGGCGTCGGCGGCTTTGCGGCGGCGGCGGCGGTGGAGCGGGCGGAGCAGCGGGCGGCGGCGCTCGAGGAGGAGAATGCGGGGCTGCGGAGGGCGGTGAGTGCGATGCGAGCCGACATGCAGGCGAGATGCAGCCGAGATGCGGCCGAGATGCGGCCGAGATGCGGCCGAGATTCTGAGACAGAGGTGGTCGTGCGGCCCGACTTGCAGGCGAGCGCGGCGCAGGCAGCACAGCGTCAGGCCGATGGCGGGCCAGGCGACGCCGCCGCGCGCGCGGCAGTGGCGGCGGAGGCGGCGGAGGCGGAGGCGCGCGCCCAGCACTACGCGGCGCACAACGAGCTGCTCTCGCTGCGGCTGGCCGAGGCGACAGAGGGGGGGCGCGCCGACACGGCGCCGATCATCGCCGCCGAGGCGCCGGCCCGTCCGGCGAGGAGCCGCGCCTCGCTGCTCCCCTTCTTTTGTCTGAGTGCCGTGCTGCTCTTGCAGGCGTCGCTGCTGCGCCGTCGGGTGTGTGCGCTGGAGGAGACGCGAGGCCGGCTGCAGGCGCCACCCCGTGTGTGTCGCGGACTTGTGCCTGGTCCCTTCCGAGACGTGTCCTGGAACCTTCCTCTGCAGGCGCAGCTGCGAGACTTGCGGACGGCCGCCACAGCGGCCACGGCGCTCGCCGGCGGCGGTGCGGGCGGCACTGGTGCGGGCAGCGGCGGCAGCGGCGGCGGAGAGGGCGGCGATGCCGAGGCAGTGCGGGTGCTGCAGGGCAAGCTGTCTGCGCTGACGGCGCGGCTGGCGGATCGGACGAGTCTGGGAGAGGGCGGGTGATGCGCTCGCTGAGGTCGACGATCGACGATGACGTAGGCGCGGCTGGCGGATCGGACGAGGGAGTGCGAGGCGCGGCAGCGGGGCGGCGGGCGGGAGTGCAGTGCCTCTAGTCCTCACTGACGGCCGCCCCTCGCGACCACTCACAGGCGCTGCGGCTGGCGGCTGGCGGCGAGGAGGCTGCCCCGCCGCGCAGGCAGCTGGGCGGCTGCCTGCGGGCTGCTTGTCGGCTACCTGCCGGCGACCTGTCGGCTGTAGGTGGAAGCGTTGCGCGGGCAGCTGGCGGCGGCGGAGGCGGACGTGGCGCGGCTGGCGGAGGAGCGCGAGAAGCTGATGGAGATCTAGTGAAGTACTCAATTAATTAGTAATTACATCGTCAAGAATAGGAGCGCGAGAAGCTGATGGAGATCTCCAACATGTTGCGCGCCGATCTCAACCGCGCGATGGCGGACGGCGCCTCGCCCGCCGCTAGCCGCGACGCGGCCGAGGCGGCGGCGGAGCGGGCGACGCGCGAGGTTGGTGGTCCGGTCGAGGCGGCGGGAGAGAGCGAGAGAGCCGTGGGGCAAGGCGGAGAGGTGTGTGAGCAGGTCGGCGCGCAGTACGAGGCCAAGCTCGGCGAGATCGAGGGGGCGATGCGGGAGCTGATCTCGCAGAACCGCGCGCTCAAGGCGAGAGGCAGCCGAGAGGCAGCCGAGAGGCAGCCGAGAGGCAGCCGAGAGGCAGCCGAGAGGCAGCCGAGAGGCAGCCGAGAGGCAGCCGAGAGGCAGCCGAGAGGCAGCCATCTCTCCCCACATCTCCCCACATCTCCCCACATCTCCCCACATCTCCCCACATCTCCCCACATCTCGAGAAGGCGGAGCTCCGGCGGTGGACATCGCTCGACGCGGCGGCGCTGCCGCTCGTGGAGAGCCGCGACGGGCCGCCACACACGTCCGACCGTCCGGGGGGGTCGAGGCTGCACACGTCCTGCGGGGCAGGCTCGCGCTTGCCGGCTGGTGGGCTCGCCACGTACGGCACGGCTGCGGGGAGGGAGGAGTGGCTGAGGGAGGCGAGGGGCGAGGGGGAGGGGGGAGGCGACTTTCCCTGGGACGACGCGAGGAGCGGCGGCGGCGGCGAGGGCGGCGGCGAGGGCGGCGGCGGCGGAGGGGCGGGCGAGCGCGCGGCGGGGCAGCGGTGGGCGAGCAGCTCTGTACGGGCCAGCAGTGGCAGTGCTCGTTCCGACGCGAGGTCTCGGCTCAGCGACGCAAAGCGATCCCTCGCGCTCAACGGAGCCGGGTCGTCCTTGTCGGCGCGCCTCGACCCCCCCGGAC